ACATGTTGGCATTGTTGCTTTAATATTAACAATTAATCAATGAATAGAGTCAACTCATCAATTAACCGCCTAACTGTTGCAGCTCTCACATAAACAGATATTTTTAAAAAGGATCCCTTAAATTATTAAAGATTTTGTCCATTCTGGGCCACTGTAGAAACATGGTAGTTCAACATGGCTGCAGATCACAAAAACACTTCTTATTTCCAGGTGATTAACCTCTAATGAAAGCAGACCTACAAATATAATATAAGTATATAAATGTTACACACTGGACCTTTAATTTACCCTTTGTTTGCCACTAACTGTGTAATTCCTTGTTACTGATTGCTCAATGTATGCACAGAGCTCAATATATTTGTAAAAAAAAAAGCTAAAAAAAACACCGGTAATGTTCAAGTATCGGTATGTAAACGTCGGAGCAACAATCCCACTAACACCGGAGCCTTTTCTGGAGATTCAGGACAAAACGGTGCGTTCAGGGCCGACTGGAAAATAGAGGCTGCTAACATCTGAGAGCCGTGAATCACAGACAGACAGACAGGCAGCAAAGGGCAGCCTGCTTAACAAACATCAAAGAGCACACAGCTGGTAAAATCCACCCCCATCCAGCTCTGTTCCCCTCTCAGATGGCCCACTTCCAGTTTTAACCTCAGCTCATTCATTACCCAATCAACGTCACCAGAGCTCCTCTCCACTCACTCTAAATCCAGCCCATAATAACCTATATTTCAAGCTTCATAAGAATCTCAAGCTTTACTTGTTCATTTCACTTTATTGCAGCTTTATTTTAAGCCCTCTTCGGGGCTCTGTGACTCAGCCCAAAGAGGTCGGAGATTATCACAGCCGTGTTTAAAAGGAAGAGATGTAAATATGGTTATTATATGGAAGGAAGGGTGAGTGTTAAGTGAAGCAATGCAGGAAAATGTCCCTTTAGATTGAATGAAGCAGTCGACTGAGGCCTCCACTTCAAACCTATTCACTTTGATCTGATTTAATAGGGCTGCACAATATGGGAAAACATGAATTTGTGATTATTTCGACGGATATTCTGATTGTGATATGATTCAAGATTAAAGGGAATGATCGTTTCTGCATCACCCGATTTATTTACTGAAAAGAAATATTAAAATCATGATTATGTGACATTTGTTTAGGGGCTCTGTACCAAACGAACATGTTTTCTTAAATCTGGAGAACAAGATCTGCAGACCTGGACGTCTCTTCAGCTCTACAGTCCTTCAATATAACGCTGTTTGTCACATACTTTACCTTTACTTAAAAAGACTGCAGCTTCTTGTCATTTGCATACTGCGATCACTAATTTCTCATTTAAAAACAGATGCCCTGACAACACTCAGCATTTAAAGTACATTTCTTTCACAGGGGAAAGCTAAAAAAAAAAAAAAATGCATTATATGATGTGCAAAAATAAGACAAAAATAGGAAGAATGACATGAAACACACACAGAAACTGCACTGCAGACTCACTTTGAAACAGAAAATGGGACAACAACAAAGAACATAAGTGCCCCAATATGCAGAGATGGTTTGGAGGGAACAGAAAAGTGAAATAAAACAGATTTTCTTTACCTTCATGTCGTTCATGATGAGCTGGAAGAGCCCTCCCAAGGCGCTGCATTCCTTCTCTATACCCGCATCCATTTTTCCACAGGCTCGGAAAAATCCTCAACTTCCCAACTTTTTTTTTTTTTTTTACCTCCCAAAAAAAAAAAAACTTCCAGCCAAGTTTTGCAATACTCCAACAGAAGAATCAATGGAGGCTCTTTTAGATATATTTAATATGGGGGCAGAGCTGCAACACCCTGAGGGCAAAGTCCACCTTTAAAATAAAAAAAAAACCAGCAGTGGAAAAGGAGAAAACACACACACACACACACACACACTGTTAGTCAGCCGATGCTTCCAGCCGGCCAACTCGATAAACGTCCGAAAAAACACCACATCATGACTGAACCATGGAGCAAGGCAGCGTGGAAACCAAAAAAAAAACCCTCACACCGCCTTTTCTTAACTTTCCCTGCCCGACTGCTTCAAGTCCTCGAAGTAACGAAGCTAACCACAGCTAGCAACCTGTGACTGTGACTGTGTGTGTGTGTGTGTGTGTGTGTGTGTGTGTTTGGCTTTTCCAA